TTCCTTCCTTCCTTCCTTCCTTCCTTCCTTCCTTCCTTCCTTCCTTCTTAAGTAAGCTCTATGCCCAAAGTAGGGCTTGAACTCACAATGCTGAGATCAAGAGTCAGATGCTCCACCGACTGAGCCAGCCAGGCACCTCTTTTCTATATTTTTCTTAAGTTGGCTTATCTTTTGTCTTTCTTGAATTTCTTCACGTTTGTCTCATCTCACCTATGAGTGTATGAACTCGAGAGAATAGGGACTTGTCTCTCACTTCTTTTGTGATGGCAGTGATGTGTAATGGAATGAGCAGGAGATTTGAAATATGATAATACAGATGCTGGAGTCAAGCCCCAACTCTCTCACTGCCTATTTGTCTATTTGGATAAGTCACTAAACCTGTCTCAGACTCCGTGGCATTTTCTATAAAAAGGAAACGATGTCTATCTGATTTCAAAGTCCATGTGATTTTTCACTGTGCTCTGATGGATGGCATTCGTGAAGAATTTTATAGTTCCACACTCAGGCACATGCAGTACAACCCACATTCAAACCTAAAATTACTACACAGAGAGTGATAAAATAACAACTGCTAATGTCAGATGGCGGAGGCCATCTGATCTGGATTTGCGGAGGGCATTTACCTTCTAACAGTTTAGCTTCAAAGCAGTGGTTAGAATTAGCTTCCAAGTAATGGTATTCCATCACTTATCACGAGCTATCGTAGTTTGCCCCTGGCCCTGCTCCCCAGCTAAGCAAGTCCATTAATCTAAAGTTAACTTGTCACCACTCGCTGGCAGACTCTGAGCTTTTACCTGGCCACAGAAGAACGTGACTTCATATTTATAGCTCTGACATGCATCAGATTTAAAGTAAAAATCTAATCTAGCTGCACTTGTGATTTCGGCTTAAATTCCTTCTCCTTCTCTCTCCCCTCCCCCCAATAATTTGACAAAACAAATAGCATAAATTAAATAAAAAACTTCAAAGTTCATGTTATTACTCTTTTGTGGAATCATCATCATCATCATCATCATCATCATAGTTTGTTTTCTATAAATTACTCAAGTAAAATATTCAGGATTATAACCAGCACATCTTAACAAGATCAGGTGCTAAAAGTATCGCACAATCAGATTCACTTACTTGACATTTCTGACGCAACTGTCGTAGTTCTTTTATAACTGGGGCTAGAGCTGACTTCTTTTCCGACACCAGTGAATTCAGTTTTTTTACCTGTCATTTAAATAAAATACATGACATCTAAAACAAGAATTCAAAAGAGCAAAAAACCTACATGCATAAATATATTTATTAAAGTGTTATTTAAAAGAGTAAAAAGAATAAATTATTTCAACACCAAACAATGGGAAAATGATTTAGTAAATGTTGATTGGGTAATATGGAACAGCATTTAACTTAAAAAAATTTTTTTAAATGTTTTTTATTTTTGAGAGAGAGTGTGCGCACGCGTGCAAGTGGGGGAAGGGCGGAAAGAGAGGGGAGCAGAGGATCTGAAGCAGGCTCTGTGCTGACAGCAAAGAGACCAATGGGGCTCAAACTCATGAACCATGAGATCATGACCTGAGCTAAAGTCGGACATTTAACTGACTGAGCCACCCAGGAACCCAGCATTTAATTATTTAAAATGTTAGTTATTGGGGCATGCTCAGTTATTTGACCATCCAACTTCAGCTCAGGTCATGATCTCATGGTTTATGAGTTTGAGCCCCATATGGGGCTCACTGATGTCAGCTCACAACCCGTTTCAGATCCTCTGTCTCCCCCCTCTCTGCCCCTCCCCCATTTGCACTCTCTCTCTCAAAAAGAAATAAACTTTTTAAAAATAAATAAAATGTCAATTATTGGGGCACTTGGGTGGCTCAGTCGGTTAAAGCATCTGACTCTTGATTTCAGCTCAGGTCACGATCTCATGGTTTGTGAGATTGAGGCCCACATCAGACTCTGTGCTGGGCATGGAGCTTGCTTGAGATTCTCTCTCTCCCTCTGCCCCTCCCCTGCTTGTGTGCACACATGCTCTCTCTCTCTCTCAAAAATACAATACAATACAATATAATACAATAAAATACAATAAAATAAAATGTCAATTACTAAGGTTGCAAACTATATGGGAAAATACTTGTAATCTAACACTGAATAATGAAAACAAATTATAAAGTTGCCTAAATACAACTACAATCATGTTGTATTATGTAAAAAAAATGTAATTATGTAGGTTATAGAGTATATACGAAACATGAGGAAGTGATATTCAAAATACTTAATAACCCAAATGATATAAGTAATGACCAATCAAAATGGACACCAAGCATGGGGATTAACAGAGTATAGAAGGTCTCTGCTGTGTTAATCATTAATCTTTTTAGGGGTTAGACAGTAGTGAGATCCAGAGGGTTCTGGGCAAGTAGCCAATGTGGAAAAGCCAGGTGGAAGTGGGTACTCTGAGAGTTTGAGGCAACAGTTATTTCCTTCTAGTAAGGAAGGAAAGATTTCAACATTTTAATGCCTGCTAAAGCGGCATCAGTTCATTCAGGCTGAGTAGCAGCTCCAAATAAGGACAGATAGGAAGGAAAAACACAAAAATGAAATAGTTTTATTAGTCAGGGTGGTATGATTTGGGAAAACTTATTTTTTATCTTAAGTATTTCTTTAATGTTATAGAACTTTTACACACTTAAAAACCACAAGATAAGGCAGGCATTTCAATACCTAATTCTATAGGGTATTTAATAACCCTATCGTGTTTCCTTGGGAAAAAACCCTGCAAAATGCCTAAATTATTACAAGTTGAACAACTTACTAAAATGGAAACACTCAAAAGAGACTGATAAAGAGATGAAGGAATATAAGGTAAACAATGTGCAGAAATGAAAATTTCAGTGTTTCACTGAAAACAAAACACAAAAATATCTGCCTCTAGCTATACAATAAAAAAAAACTATAAAAAAGCATAATCACCATTTCAGACATGTCATCTAGCGTTCGGCCTTTCATTTCGTCGACTTCACTCTTCAGTGCAGATACCCTTTCCAGCTCTTCCTGAGTGTAACTATATCCAGATATGCCCTTTTTCTCTTCAATAGTTCGCTAAAAGTAAAGAATAAAAATAGGTGTCAAAATTGGGGTCTACAAAATGGGTGTCAAAACCTTGATGATTCTGTAAGTAGTATACAGACTTAATACATAGCAATAAAGTTACAAATAAAATAAATTAGCTTACAATGCTAAAGAGTAATTTTTATTGACTTCAACAATAATTACATACTGTTGTATGCTATAAACTTAGGCTAAATTTTGCTTTGGTATCTTCGGGTGCATAGTATTTCTAATTTTAGCACTCAATAAATACTTGGTGACTGAATGAATTCTCAAGTGACCAATATACTTGCATTCATTCAGCCATCCAATATTTATTAGATACCTGAATGTGCTGAGCATAGTTCTAAGCACCAGATAGATAGATAAAATAAAATGTCAATTATTAAGGCTGCAAACCATATGGGAAAACACTTGTAACAAAACAGGTAAAACAAAACAAAACAAAACAAAACAAAACATAAAAAAAAAAAAAAACCTCCCTCACAGAGCTTACTTCTAGTGAGAGTAAACAAGCAATATGTAGACAAGTAAAATACATATAGTGTGAGGTGAGAGTGGGGCTGGAATCTTAAATAACAGGGTGGTTAGAGGTCTTCCTGAGAAGATGACATCTAAGCAAAGCCCGAATGAAGGGAGGGAGCAAGTCATACAGATATCCAGGGGATTGGTAAGGGCAAAAGACATGAGGTAGGAGCAAACCTGTCCCTTCCAAGAAATATCCAGGAGACTGGTGAGCTGAAAACTGAGTGAGAATGAGGTGGGGTTGGGGAGGGATCATACGGGACTCAGATGGCTTGCTGGAACAGTCTCAGTTAATGTCTGTTGTCCTTTGCATTCTCAAAAGTGTCCTACTTTAGATGATAAATTATACGGTTACTTTATTTTTAGGCCAATGAAAGAGCTTGGACTTATTTTAAATGAGATGGGAGGCTTGTCGGGTGGCTCAGAGTAAAGGAATTTTTAAAAGACCACTTTAACATCTGTGCTGAGATCAAACTATAGAGGGACAAAGGAAGCCAGTTAGAAGACTACTCCAGTAATTTAGGTTAGAGATAATGGTAGCATGAATCAGATGGTGGTGGTAGAGGTAACGAGAAGTGGTTGTGTACATATTTTAGAGATAAATCCAAAAAAATATTATGACAGATTAGCTGTGAGGTGTGAGGGAAAATGAGGGGTAAAGAATGACTAAGGTTTCTGGCCTGCAGAACTGAGAGATGGAGCTGCCATTTATTGAAATGAGAAAGACTTGATAAGACCAGATTTGAGGGAATAATGAAGATAAGAAATTTAGTTTTGGACATGTTAAAAACTTGAAATATCTAGCAGATACCCAATAGAGGGGTCAAGATGTTATAAGTACAAGACTGAAATTTGAGGAGAAATCTAGGCTAGAGATATCAATTTGTGAGTTGTCTGCATAAAGAAGGTCTTTAAAGCCATAGACAGGATAAGATCACCAAGGGAGTGAAACTAGAGAAGAAATCCAAGGGCTAAGCCTGGTGACTCTAATATTTAGACCTTGGAGAAATGCGAAGAAATCAGCCATGGAGTAGAAACAGGAGTGCTAGTAAAGGAGAAAAACCAGGAGAGTGTAGTGTATTAGAAGATAAGTAAAGGAAGAGGGAGTGATCAACTATGTCAAACACTGCTAATAGGCCAAGTAGGAAAAGAACTAAGAATTGCTCACTGGGTTTAGCAATGTGAAGGTATTGGTGACCCTGACAAGAGAAATTTTGGTAAGATGGTGGGTGTGAAGACCTGACTGGAGAGGATTCAAAAGAGGATGGAAGAACCAAAAGGAAAGAAAGACAAGGAGAGAAGGAATGGAAGAGTTGGAATTGGGGGCTGACAATAAGATTGAGATCCCTAAGAAAGGAGGAGTAGGAACTACAAAGCATTAGCCCAAGATTCCGTATGCAATTTCCTCTTTGGGCATTACCAAATCCTAAGCTGTGTGCAAGGAAGGTAAGACTCCCCAAAACCAAGTGAAAATCAGTAGATAGGTGACTAAAAAGCTGGGCAAAGTTTTCAGTATCTCATAGTGCCGGGCAGACAGAGGTAGGAATTTAGGACTTGTCAAAGTATGTTGCTTCAGACTATCAGTTGAAACCCCAGAACGGCTACACCTTAGGAGTAAGGGTTATAACCTAGGAATAAGAGCTAGGCCCTAGAAGTAAGGGCTACTTCCTGGGAATAGAGTTTCTGCCACAGGTATAAGGGCTGAATCTTAGGAATAAGAGAAAACTGAAAAATATCAGCACTAACAAAACTGGATCTAGATGATCTATGAGGAAAAAAAAAATCAAATGCTCTTTAAGGAAAGAAATGTTTCCAGAGGCTGATGTTCAATAAAAAAGTACTAGGTTAGCAAAGGAACAGAAACAAATGTCGGAAAATCAAGAGAAAAATACAGATAATAGAAACAGACACCCAGATAAATTTATTAGATAGGACATTTAAAATAGCTGCAACTGGGGCGCCTGGGTGGCTCAGTCGGTTGAGCATACGACTTCAGCTCAGGTCATGATCTCATGGTCCATGAGTTCGAGCCCCGCGTCGGGCTCTGTGCTGACAGCTCGGAGCCCAGAGCCTGTTTTAGATTCTGTGTCTCCCTCTCTCTCTGACCCTCCCCTGCTCATGCTCTGTCTCTCTCTGTCTCAAAAATACATAAACATTAAAAATTAAAAAAAAAATAAAATAAAAAAAAATAAAATAGCTGCAATTATTATATTCAAGACAATAAATGAAAAGTTGGAGAATGTTACAAATAACTGGCATTGAGGAGGGCACCTGTTGGGATGAGCACTGGGTGTTGTATGGAAACCATTTTGACAATAAATTTCATATTAAAAAAAAACAAATAACTGGAATCTATCAAATGGAATCAAATGGAAATTCTAGAACGGAGAAACGTAACACCTGATATTCAGAATTCAATACCCAGATTACATAGCAGATTGGACACAACAAAAAAAGTAAGATTAATGAATTAAAAGAGAGCACAGCAAAAAAAAAATTCAGATTAAGTCACAGAAAAAAATAATGGAAAAAAAAAGCAAAACATACAACCCATAATGAATATGGTAAATAGTGAAAAAGCCTAACATACATGTAACTATAATTGTAGCTCACAGAAGGGAGAAGAGAATGAGACTATAATATTTAAAGAAATGCTACTTGCTGAGGACTTTTCAAAAACTGACAAAAGACATTAAGGCCACACTTCTAATAAGCCTTACAGACCCCAAGCCAGATGAATAAAAAAGAAAACCTAGGAAAATCACAGTTAAAACTGCTGAAAAACCAAAGACAGAAAAAAAAAATCTTAGCAAACAGAGAATAACACACTACCTTAAACACACACACACACACACACACACACACACACACACACACACACAAGAAACAATGGAAGCCAGAAGCCAATGGAATTAAATCTTTAAAGTGCTGAAAGAAAGTAACTGCCACCCAAGAATTCTATATTTGGTGAAAATGTGCTTCAAAATAAGGGTACAATAAAGATGTTTTAAGAAAAGCAAGAATTGAGTGGACTTATCACCAGCAGACCTACACTAAGTGAAATACTGAAAACGAGATCCCAATAGAATAATGATGGTGCTGGAAGGAAAAGCCATGAAAAGAGTAAACTGGTAGATAAATCTAGAATAATATTAAATATAATAATATCATGTGGGATTTACATTATATATAGAATTTAAAAATATATATCCACAATAGCACATAATATGAGGAAGAGATAAATACAGCAAAAGTGTCATAAGTTTCTTACATTGCCCCCAATATAGTAAAACAGGGAAGACTGTAATTAGTCAGAGGTGCATGTTATAGTTTCTGGCTTATGCACTAAGAAATAACAGGGATAACAAAAAGAAGCTATAACCAGTAAGCTAAAAGAGGGGAAACATGGAAGATACAAGTATTTGAGTAATGCAAAAGAAGGGAAGAAAGGAGAAAAAAGAGTGAAGAACTGATGGAACAAATAGAAAATGTTGAAAAAAATCAGTAATTACATTAAATGTAAAGAGATTAAATACCTCAAGTAAAAGGCAAAGATGGCCACACTGTACAAAAATAAAAAGCTAACTATATATTTCTTACAAAAAATATACAATAATTACAAAGATGGAGAAAGGTTGAAAGGATGCAAAAGATATATGTCTTTTAAACATTAACTAAATGAAAGTTTGTGTGGCTGTATTAATAACAGATAAGTATATATTAAGGCAAAGGCTATTATGAGAGATAAAAAAAAAAGGGGTATTTCCTAATTATCAAAGGGCCAATTTATCAGGAAGATAATGATACTAGATTTATATGGACTAATAACATAATCTCAGTATATTTGCAGTGGGGGCTCCGTCCTGATTTGCTTACCGGGTCAGGGTACCTAATCCCATAGCTGTTGTGAGAATAGCTGTTGGCTATTTATGGCTTACAGCTACCCTTTCTTCAAAGTATGCGATTGGCTGAACAGGAACTGTATCATACCACCTCCTGGGTGGTAGTGAGGGTCCACAGCAAATGACTGACAGTGAGGTACAAAAGGGTAGTTTTCTTGCCTAAAAATGAGACCAACTTTATGATGCAATTTGTGCTCCAGGGCTCCTCATGGGATCAGACGGAAACTGGGCTCCAAATGAATCCACTCTGCCTCATTGCTTCATTCGGGTTCCTTCACTTCCTTTCTCCTAAGAGCATTCTCTGAATTAATCATATGAAGAGCAGGACTTCTTGTTTCTCTGCTTCTAGAGAACCTGATCAAACTCTAAGAATGGGCTTCTAGAGTGGCATTACTCACTGGCTGAATGGAACCAAGGGCTCCATCACTGTGGCAGGTTGAATATTGTTAGTCCCATACCTGTTATAGCAGTGCAATTGCTAAGACTTATGGTGAACTGAGGCAGAGTATATGTGGAAGGTGACAGTGGTGGCCATGAGAATGGACTGCTCAGATCTCCTTCAGGAGAGCCTGCCGAGAAGAACAGATTGGACTGATAGCCATAACCGCTGCCCCTCTGGATCCACCATCATGTTCTTACCACGCCCATGTTTCTCCCAGGGTGCTCCTAAGCAATGACTGAGGATGGCAATGGTACTAGTGCTGGCCCATTCCTGCCTGACAGGGGGCTCCTCTCGTGGGTGACTAGTTCAGGAATCTCTCTCATTCTAACCAAAACTTTCCCCAAACTGTGCTGCAGTCTGAGGCTCTTCCTACATAACCGTCCTTCCTTCTCTCTCCCTTCATGGATGTCACACTTATATTAAGGCCTAATGATTTTCCCTGCCTCCTCTTGGCTCTCTTGCCTTTACCTTTCATATGTATCTCCTCCAACAAATCTCTTGTACATCTTGGTGTCTGCTTCTTGAATTGTCACAGGGATGCACTATACTAGCTGGTACAATGTTGCTTGTGTTTGAGAAGCATGGAGAAATAATAACTATAAGGACTATAGAATTGGGGTGGCTAAGCTCCAGGTATAGTTGAAGAGATAAAATGACAGGTTCAAAGATATTAATCTGTAATTTAAAGTAAAGTGATAAGGTTAGAGAACCTTCTTAGGAACTTCAAAGAAACCCTCATTTCCTATGGCTGAAGGTCAGAGGGAGCTGAAAACCAGGCACACAATTTAATTGTTAGCAGGGAAAAACTTCAGAGAAAACTGAATATATTCTATGCTAAAATCAGGACTCTGAGAAAGGGTGCTGAGTCTGGAACGGAATACCTGCCAAGACTCACTTGAGAACCTTGAGCCCCTAGATTATCCTGTATCCTCTGGCCAAGTGGCAAGTGGCTTAGCTTATTGGCCAGGGGCCTGGAAGAAGCAAGGTGCCAGGACTGGAAGATTGGGAGGTCTGGGGAAGGGGCATGCAGATAGACCTATGGGCGCAACACACTAAGTATGAAGATCTTTTGATCACAAGCTAATGGCCACTAGAGAATGTCCACAGCAGAAGTGACACTAAACAACCAAGTGGAAAGGACGATTTGGCCAGTAGATATCAGCCAGCCTCTGTTATTGGCCACCCAGTGCTTAGACAATGGGCTCATGAACAGAATGGCTATGTTGACAGAGATGGGGGCTAAGCAAGGGCCAAAGAGCATGGGCTCCCTCACCAATGCCCATCTAGCTACGCCCACTGCCAAATGTCTGACCTGGCAACAATAGAGAGACCAATCCTGAGCTCTAGATATAATCATACCTTGAGGAAACCAATCATCTTTCTGCCTTAAAAAGGGCAACATTTCATCCTGACTTGGACTGACCCATATTCTGAGTAAGGATTTGCTTTTATTGCCCACAGAGCTGTAGCCAGCATCAATATCCAAGGGCTCAGAGTATTTGATCTACTGATGTGGAATCTTCCACTGATGTGGAATCTTCTTTATGGCAAAGGAGATATGGTGGAGGACACATGACCATGGGATTCAGTCTCTGTGTCACATACTCCACCATCCAGGAAGCTAATAGCCTGATAGGCTGGTAGAAGGCCTTGCTGAAGGTACAGCTAAGGTGTCAGCTTAGAGTTGATGGCCTGTGAGGATGAGCTCTATTCTTCAGGATGGAATGTACATCTTAGACCAATGCCCACCATTTGGTGCTGTGTTGCAAACAAGGAATATATTGGTCTTAGAGCCACAGAATGAAAGTATGAGTGTCACCACTCACCAGGATGCCAACTTATCCACTTAGGGAATTATATTTCCTTTCTTGGCACCTTTAGGCTCTGTAGGTGCAGATTTTCTGGTTTCCAGAGTGCATATGCTTTTACCAGAAGGTGCAATAAAAGGCCTTTAAACTTAATGCTTTGGCTACCATTTCGTCACTTGGGCTCCTCATACTCATAGACCAGCAGACAAATAAAGGAGTTATTATATTGGCAGGACATCATAATGCTATACATAAGCTGCTATATAATAAGGCAGATAGGAATATATTCGGCAGTCAGATGATCCATTAGGGCATATCTTGGTACTCCCATGCCCGGTTTTAACAGTAAATAAGTAAAGACAGCAACCACAGCCTGATAAGGTCATGATTACGCGCACCTCTTAAAGATGAGGGACTGGGTCATTCCACAAATAAGTCATTTAGACCAGTGGAGGTGCTAGCCAAACATGAGGGAAATCTAGAATGGATGGTAAAGGAAGGAGATGTTGATTATTATTATGTCCTTGGGACCAAATGTAGCAATGGGAGTTTTCATTGTCCAATTAACCCTCCTCCTACAAATTTTCCCAGAAATTGTGACCAGTCAGAATCCTGTAGAAGCTATACCTAAATGGAGCGAGTTTAACGTGAAAAACAGGTAGATCCCAACATTGTAAGGGGTAGATTGTAATGGACGTTGTTGGTGCCTCACTCAGACCATGTCTGCAAGCTGCCATGATAGTTACTGGCTGCTAAAGGTTCACAGGTGCCCCTTCTCCAGAGAGTGCCGCCTCATTGGGCTAGGAGGTTACACTATGCCACAGCCAATGACTTACTGATACAGGAGTATAAAAGGCCAGCCCCCTTGCCTCAAGATGGAATCAATTTCATGCTGTAATTTATGCTCCAAAGCTCCTCACAGAATCAAAATGAAGCTGTCTAGTCAGGACTACATCCTTGCTTGGCTCTTTTCTGCTGTCCTATCTGCTCTCCTCATTCCCCTTCTTCTGAAGGCACTCCCTCCCTCAAGAAATCACTTGTGCAGAGTACTGCCTTCTCAGGCTCTGCTTCTAGGGAACCCAACTTAAGAAAAAATGTAAAGAAAAAACTGATGGATTTAAAGGAAAGCAGACAAAGCAATAATCATAGAGATTTTAACACACCTCTCTCAATAACTAATGGGACAAGAAAACAAAAAATATCAGTAGGAATATGGAAGATTTGACTATCATGGTTAACACGCTTGACTGAATTGACATATAGAGAACACCATTCCCAACAAACTGCAGAATATACATTCTTCTCAACTGCGCTGGCATGATGATCAAAATAGAACATTTGCTGGACCATAATGAAACACTCAACAAATCTTGAAGGACTAAAATCACACAGAATGTTCTCTGGTCACAGTGGAAATAAGGTAGAAATCAATAACAGAAGGGTAACTAGAAAATGTTTAGTTTTAAGCAATAATCCATAGATCAAAGAAATCATAATGGAAATTGGAAAATATTTTGAAGTGAACAGAAACACAATTAACTACCTATCAATTTGGGAAGAAGTGTCATTAGAATCCATGGCTGCTACATAGTAAATGTTCTATCTTAAGTTGCCTAGAACCAAACACCATTTAACAGCAGGAGACAGAAAGTTCATATTGCCAGCTTAACCATGACTGGTTGAAACTTCGTTTACTTCCACCAGATTATTGCTAGCTAGTAAATCAACAACCTGATGAAATAATTTCCCCATGGGTGAAAAGACAAAAAAAACTCAAATCAAGAAAACTCTGAGGAACTGGTGTCCATAATGAGAACAGCTTTGCTATTAGAGGGACTGCTCTGGACTTAACTCTTTTATGACAACCAAGGCACAAATACATAAGGAGCAAGCCTGCAGGCAAACTTCCATGTGGTACCTTTCCCGGATATTTCTTTTCAAAGCTCCATGTAAGTGGCTGCTTAGAAACTTCTGCCCAACAGGCCATGATAAATAAATGTTTTACACTCACTCTTCTTGGTATGATAATTTTTCTCATATTAACTAGAAAGATGTATTTGGAATTCAGCTTCTATTAATTACCCCAATGTCAGCACACATGAAAAAGTTAGTGCTTACGACTACACTAAAAAAATAAATGAATTGGGGTGCCTGGGTGGCTCAGTAGGTTAAGTGGCTGACTTTGGCTCAGGTCATGATCTCACAGTTCGAGAGTTCAAGCCCTGCATCCGGCTCTGTGCTGACAGCTCCAAGCCTAAAGCCTGCTTCTGATTCTGTGTCTCCTTCCCTCTCTGCCCCGCCCCTGCTCATGCTCTGTGTCTCTCTCTCTCAAAAATAAATAAACATTAAAAAAATAAATGAATCAGCTTATATGACATCTCTGTAATTAATCAGAGAAAATTAAAAATTTTATGATGTTTTCAGTAAAAACAATGACCTCAGTATACAGCTACAACCTATAAACCTCCTGGCATTTATATTTCTAGCACTCCAGATAATATTGTATTACCAGTTGATGTTGAATATTTTCATGCCGTTGCTTAAGAAGTTCTTCTGTCCTCTGCAAGAGGCCAAATTCAGCTTTAAATTCAGCTATTATTTGATGCTTCTTTTTGAAAACTGTACTCTTGCTTCGAAGTTTACTGACATATCGTTTGAACTGTAAAAGAACACAATATGTAACATGAATATAAAAGTAGTTGCTAAATATATTAACTTCAATGTATTGGAAACATTTTATTTTCTACTGTCTAACATTTGTGTCATGAGTATATAATAACTTAGTTTCATTAGAAAACTTGATAAGACTAACTGCTCAATTAAAATATTTTGTGTAGGTTTTAATTTTTGGACCCATCTAAATGTTGTAAATCCTTATGTAAAAGCTGTTCATTTGGGGCTTTACAAATAAGGGTTTAAAAAACCAGAAACTCAACCCTATTAAAAAAAAAGGTTAAAAAAGGAGGAGGAGGAGGAGGAGGAGGAGGAGGAGGAGGAAGAGGGGGAGAAAAAGTAGGAAACCAATTCTGGCTGTGATCTTACCATGATATCTCTTGCATACTGTACTATTTTGGATGTACTACATGTACTACATCTATTGAGATTAATATGGCCAATCAGAATAGTCAAAACCTATAGCTACTATTTATCATTTAAAGAAGTGTACTGTGACCATATACACTAAGAAGCATCTGAGACATTGGAATGAAGCCCATCCCAAACCTTAAAAAGCTAAGAATATTCCAGGTTAGTGGGAATTTACAGTTGCTTAATTCAGCTATCTACCGACCTTTATACCAAAGGTATAAAGTTATAACTACTCTAGCGGAAAGCTCCCCACTATTAAGTAATACCAACTATAGTTTGGAAAAAGCAAATGAAAATGAATAGTAATTACAGGGATTCATTTGATAAGCTCTATTTACTAACTATCATGTATTAGGCACTGTGCCAGACATTGAGAATACAACTCTAAACAAGATACTCAGAAGTTCGGCCCTCACCAAGCTTAAGGAAATAGTGGTGAAAACAAACATTGAACTGATGTTTACAACCATGGTTGAACATTATGAAGGTGTCCGGAGAATAAATAACAGGAGTTTAACCTGGGTTGGGATGAAGGTAGGAAAGGTGGGCATTGGGATTTAGGGGAAGTGGATTATGGCAAGCTTCCCAAAATAATTACATTTGAGCCAAGACTGAAGAAGTAAGAGTCTGTTGTTAGAGGAAGGAGGAAGAGGCAAAGAGCATTCCAGGTAGAGGAAACAGCAGGTGTAAAGATTCTGGCTCATTAAAAGTATTGCTTGACATAAGAAGCAAATACCAGAAGCAAATGTGAGAAATTTCTGGTATTTCTGAAACAGAACATAATACTTAAAAAAATTACTTCCTCTTATGTACCATTATACTAATAATTTTCAGATTCTCTTACTACATAAAATAATTTTTCTTCCTGCTTTATCCTTTTATTAACTACATTTTTTGAAAAATTCCAACTAAGAATTTGGCCTGTTATATTTAAGCACATTACTTCAAAACAAAAGTAAGCTCCCATTTTACCTAATACAAGATAATTCTTTAAGAGTCTTAGCCTTTTTATTTTTTTAATTTTAATGTTTATATTTGAGGTAGACAAAGTGCGTGAGCGGGGGAGGGGCAGAAAGAGAAGGTGACAGAATCTGAAGCAGGCTCCAGGCTCTGAACTGTCAGCCCAGAGCCCAATGCGGGGCTCGAACTCACGAACTGCGAGATCATGACCTGAGCGAAGTTGGATGCTTAACCAACTGAGCCACTCAGGCACCCCTAGAATCTTAGCCTTTTTAATACTCAGTCCTTCTAAAGGCTAACTTGAGAGGAGAGTGATAAATAATTTTACAAATAATAAAAGTCATGAATTACTGAAATTTTGGAAAACAGAAAAAAGGATAAAATTCACTCAAAGCCATTATCCTATTCTACTATCCTACTAAGCTCTACTACCATGTTGGTATTTTTCCTTCTAATTTATAAGGCTAAACATGAGGGCAATAATTCTAAATTGTAAGGTATAAAATAGGAAGCACAACATTTCTAACATTTAGGTGATTTTTTCTTTGAAGACTTGATTGATTTTTCAGTACATAAAGAAAGTCCTCAAAAATAGTAAGATTAAAAATTCTTCACAAAAACATAACCTCCTAGGGGCGTCTGGGTGGCTCAGCTGGTTAGGCATCTTGACTTTTGATCTCACATTTCCAGTGTGAGCCCTGCACTGGGCTGCACACTGTCAGCGTGGAGCCTGCTTGGGATTCCCTCTCTCCCTCTCTCTCTCTCTGTCCCTCCCCTGCTCACACACATACTCTATTTCTCTCAGAATAAATATACTTAAAAAAAATAACCTTCTAATTCCTAGTTTAGACTTTTTAAACTTGACTTAAACTCTGAAAGAAATGAAGAACCCACTGTGTTTTAGAGGAAGGAAGTTCAAAATATTTTTCTATCTATGATTTAGTTTTAATGGTAAGGAATCCAGCCCACACACAGCAAATTATCAATAGCTGGATTATAGGAATGGTTTAAAAATTTAAGTCATACCAATGTACCTAGAGTCTAATAACTTGCATTTTTTCCTTTTAAAGAATAAACGTGTAAGCCTGCCATAACCACAGACTCAGAATCCCTAGAGTAACTATATGTTCTATTAAAAGTGTCCTGGGCAAAGTGCCCAAAGTGAAATCAACCCTATTCATCTGCTATCTTCTGTAATCTAGGCCAATTTTTCCCTTCTTTATCTTGCTGTGCTCCAGAATTATTTTTAAAAGCTAAAAGCTATAAATATTTTTGGTGGAAGAACAAACCCACCAATTACTCAATGTGCTCTATGCTGATTGGTTACTATTTGACATTCACTGGACAGACTACCTAAGTAAGGGAAGGGTAGTTTTGGCCAGATTAATGATGGCTATATACAATTAAGCAATAGGTGGCCATCAAAGCACTGTAAGGGACCCACTACTCTGGATGAATTAGAGGAAAGAAAATACATTATCCATGTTTTTCTTCCATTGGACATTTTTTCTCACTATCATTTGGATTTTAGATTATTTCTGAATTTTCAAACTATCACAAAAAACCCGGATGAATATATTGAAGCTAAATCTTCAGACACATTCTTAATAATTTCTATAGGACATATTTTCAGAAATGGTAAGAAGGAAGTAGGATTTTGATAGATTTTGCCAAACTGCCCTTCAAAGGCTATTTATAGTACTTTTAATAATTGTCAGTTTGATAATTAAAATGGTATTTTACTTTTTATCTGCATTTATTAAGGAAACTCACTTTTTTGTCATGTTCATTATTCATCCGTGGGGATTAAAAAAATTATTTGCCTTTGGCCCACTTTTTTATTGGAGTTTTTTTCTATAATTTTTTTTTTTTTTATAATTTATATCCAAGTTAGTTAGCATATGGTACAACAATGATTTCAGGAGTAGATTCCTTAAGTCCCTTACCCATTTAGCCCATCCCCCTTCCCACAACCCCTCCAGCAACTCTCTCTTTGTACTCTAAGAGTCTCTTCTGTTTTGTCCCCCTCCCTTCTCTTATGTTCATCTGTTTTATATCTTAAAGTCCTCATATGAGTGAAGTCATATGATATTTGTCTTTCTCTGACTAATTTTTCTCAGCATAATACCCTCTAGTTCCATCCACATAGTTGCAAATGGCAAGATTTCATTCTTTTTGATTGCTGAGTAATACTCCATTACACACACACACACACACACACACACACACACACACCCCACATCTTCTTTATCCATCCATCCATCGATGGACATTGGGGCTCTTCCCATACTTTGGCTATTATTGATAGTGCTACTATAAACATTGGGGTGCATGTGCCCCTTCAAAACAGCACATCTGTATCCCTTGGATAAATACCTAGTAGTGCAATTGCTGGGTCGTAGGGTAGTTCTATTTTTATTTTTTTGAGGAACCTCCATACTGTTTTCCAGAGTGGCTGTACCAGTTTGCATTCCCACCAGCAGTGCAAAAGAGATCCTCTTTGTCTGCATCCTCATCAACATCTGTTGTTGCCTGAGTTGTTAATATTAGCCATTCTGACAGGTGTGAGGGGGTATCTCAATGTGGTTTTGATTTGTATTTCCCAGATGATGAATGATGTTGAGCATTTTTTCATGTGTCGATTGGACATCTGGATGTCTTCTTTGGAGAAGTGTCTATTCATGTCTTTTGCCCATTTCTTCACTGGATGATTTGTTTTTTGGGTGTTGAGTTTGATAAGTTCTCTATGGATTCTGGATACTAACCCTTTATCTGGTATGTCATTTGCAAATATCTTCTCCCATTCTGTTCGTTGCCTTTTAGTTTTGCTGATTGTTTCCTTCATTGTGCAGAAACTCTTTATTTTAATGAGGTCTCAATAGTTCATTTTTGCTTTTGTTTCCCTTGCCTCTGGAGATGTGTTGAGTAAGAAGTTGCTGCAGCCGAGGTCAAAGAGGTTTCTGCCTGCTTTCTCCTCTAGGATTTTGATGGCTTCCTGTCTTATCTTTAGATCTTTCATCCATTTTGAGCTTATTTTTGTGTATGGTGTAAGAAAGTGGTCCAGGTTCATTTTTCTGCATGTCACTGTCCAGTTTTCCCAGCACCACTTGCTGAAGAGACTGTATTCCACTGGATATTCTCTCCTGTTTTGTCAAAGATTAGTTGGCCATACGTTTCTGGGTCCATTTCTGGGTTCTCTATTCTGTTCCATTGATCTGAGTGTCTATTTTTGTGCCAGTATGATACTGTCTTGATGATTACAATTTTGTAATACATCTTAAAGTCTGGGATTGTGATGCCTCAGCTTTGGTTTTCTTTTTCAAGATTGCTTTGCCTATTTATTGGAGATTTTAATTTTTTCTTGTGGATCTGTAACAGTGATTCTCAAACTGTTTGGTCTCAGAAACCCTTTATATATTTTTTAAATTATTTAAGCTCTCAAAGGGATTTTGTTTATGTAGACTGCTGCTGTGGAAAATTTGAGGGAAAAGAATGGACTTTCAATTAATGGGCCCTTTGCTTCATAACATATAAAAATCCATTCCTACTGGATTACAGACTTAAATGTGAAAGATGAAACTACAATTCTTCTGAAATATAGGAAAATATCAC